ATATATATATATATATATATATATATATATATATAAAATCTATCTTAGATGTTTGTTTACGTTGGTATGACTTATTGAGTAGGCTGGACAGTTCATTATTGAATATTGTGGAGAAGTAATATCTTCAGAAGAAGCAAAGGCCAGATCTCAAACTTATGAAGCTCAAGGTTAGAATGTGTGGTTTGGTTTATGAGTGTAACTAATGACCAACAAAACATATATAATAGTGTTATTTATTGGCATTGCATTTATAATTTTTTATGCAGGATTAAGGGATGCATATATAATTTCTCTTAATGGCAGTTACTTTATTGATGCCACAAGGAAAGGAAGCCTTGGTAGATTTATAAACCATTCCTGGTAAGGATTAACTAACTGATTACATTCCCATTTCCATTTCCATTTCCATTTCCATTTGTGGATTAAGTAAGTAACTTCATTCTTTCTGCAGCCAACCAAATTGTGAGACTAGAAAGTGGACGGTTTCAGGGGAAACTCGGGTTGGGATTTTTGCAAAACAAGACATTTGTGTTGGAACTGAACTTGCATATGACTATAATTTTGAATGGTATGGTGGCGTTAACGTGCGTTGTCTGTGTGGGGCCCCTAACTGTTCTATTTTTCTTGGTGCAAAGTCTCAGGGTTTCCAGGTAAATATGTTTTGCAAAGTTTTTTCAATTGCTCATATTTTAATCCATTCTATTGTTTTCTTAACACTTCAGGAGCATAATCATGTCTGGGAAGATGGCGATGACAGGTTGGTTAGTGTGTGTGTGTGTGTGTGTATATTTTTTTTGTATTTACATGAAGATGATAAAACATTTGGGATTTGGTATTGTTTTCCATGAGTTCAGATATACAGTTGATGAATTCCCTCTGTATGATTCTGCTGAAGATGAGGCACCTTCAGAAAAGGTGAACAAGATTACTACAGAAGAACCCCCTTCAGTAGTAACAGTGAGAAGAAACGAGGTTAACAACAACAACAACAACAATGGTTTTGGATATAAACACAAGACCAATTTTTCAGGTGGTAACATTAAGCGTGGTGGTGGTGGTGGTGGTGGTATGGTGGTTTCTGGGGCGAATGGTAACAACGGGCCTGCAAAGCGGGCAGGTAAACGCAGACCGAACCGAAAGCAAAAGGCTTCGGGCAGGAAACCGGTGAATGGAAAACGTGTTGCACAACTCTTTGCTTCAAAGAAAGTACAAGATCAACTCGTAAAATGCGAGGTAGCAATGGATCACTTATTTAATTTCATAAAATAAATTTTTTTTATTTATTTATTGCATGCAGGAGATAAGAAGTGAAGCGAGTGTGATGCTTGATGCTGTGTATGATGAAATACGGCCTGCAATTGAAGAAAGGGAAAGGGAGAGTCTGGACAGTTTGCCCACAAATGTAGCAGAAAAGTGGATAGAGGCTTCCTGCTCTAAATTAAATGCAGATTTCAACTTGTACTTCACAGTCGTCAAAAATGTCGTCTGCCCTCCTCCTCCTCCTCCTCAAACTTAATGTCCTTCTTCATCAACAACAACATATTGCATATGCATGTTTGGGTCTGGAATTTCATGATGTAATTTTATTGTTCAAAAAGTTTGTGAATGGTAGGAGCCTACTTTTTTTCATACAAATTCTTTGCATAGTCAGCAAGGTAAGGTGGGTGTTGGTTCAATTTCAGATTTCATGAATTCTTTGTTATAAAACTCAAATCAGAAAAAGGTGTTGTTCAATTTCAGGAACTCTCACAGTTTGATGATATATTTTATTTAAAGTGACATGACATGACATGCCATTCCAAGTTTTGTTAGATCATGCTCTCTTCTCTTCGACGATATAACTTCATGGCAGCCCTGTCGTGTCGTGTGATGCATAATTCAATCTCTTGTCTTGAGGCTTGTTACTCTCACTTGAAAGAATTAATTTATTTTCTTTATTTTTTGGGGAAATAACATTTCACACTTTATGGATATTAAAGCAGCGTTGATTATTTTATTGGAAAATGACTTATAAGGGTAATATAGTTCTTTTTTTGTATACATTTAGTCCTTATTGTTATTTTTTTTTTTGTAAAGTAAGTCTTTTAATTTGTTGTTTTGTACACATTCAATTCTTATGACTGATTATTTTTGGTTAAATTTTTAGTTTTTACACATTTAGTCTTTAATATTTTTTTATTGCAAAATAAGTCTTTGTTTTTGTACATATGGAGTCCTTATGACCGATTTTTTTTAGGTTCTCACGTGGCATCCTATAGAGCACAATAATTAATGAGGTGTTCTTAGATATAGTTTTTCATTTATATCAATAACCTAATTCATAAATTGGTCAAATAATGGTGATGTTTTAATTTTCTCCAAGAGAATATCTTTGGCTTCAATTTCATCTATCTCAATAGTAGACAATGAGATTCTTTATTATTGTTTTCTCTCAACTCGAATTGGGATTTTCAAGACAAAATAACACCCTGAAAAAAAGTTTAGAGTCTTTTCCGATTTCTTGCTATGCCGATTTTGACCATTTTTCTGCAAATGTTTTTTTTATTATTTTTAAATTGACCCCGGATTTTAAAGATGAGTTTGCCGCTGTTAAAGAAATGTTTCCTGTCTAAACTACCTTGAATCAACAGGGTGATACAATGCAATGGTGGTAGAAAGGAAAAAACATGACACTTAGATTGTGCCAAATAGAAGAGTAAATTACACGAATGGTCCCTGTGGTTTAGGGTAATTTGCGCGTTTGGTCCCTAACTTATTTTTTTAACTCGGAAGGTCCCTAATGTTTGTTTTTGTTACGCGTTTGGTTCCTGTCTTACAAAAAAAAAACTATTTTACCATTGATTTTTTAATTTATTTAAATAAACACACCCTCAACCCCACCCCTATCACCTTATCTTACCTTTCACACCATTTTTCCCTATTTAAATAATAGTCTTTTTAGGTAAGATAGGGACCAAACACGTAATAAAAACAAACAGTAAGGACCAAGCGCGTAACAAAAACAAACAATAGGGACTTTCCGAGTTAAAAAAAATAAGTTAGGGACCAAACGCGCAAATTACCCCAAACCATAGGGACCATTCGTGTAATTTACTCCAAATAGAAAAGAGACTTAGGCCCCGTTTGATACGCATCTTTCCAGGTCCAAACAGATCTTTCTGGCTGAATGGACCGGAAAGACTGTTTGATTTGTACAAAAGAAAGGGTCTTTCCCGGTAAGATATGTCTTTCCCAGAAAGCCCCAAAATCATATCTTTCTGACTGAATGGGCTG